GGGCGGGCTGCATGCACTGCACTCATGTAACTGGATCAGAACGTGCATGTATCCTCGTCGTCCATCGATCTAATTAAGCACTTGCTAGGGCTAGCTACTAATCAGAGATAGATAATCAACTAAGAACAGTAAGCTTAAACAGGTAAAACGATACAGATACAGTGTGATTAAGCAAGCGGTTGGTATCATTGGTACCTTTGACCTTGATGGCGGTGACGACGCGCACGAAGTGGTCGATCCGGAGCACGGACACGTCCTCGAACCACCAGTCCGGCGGCGGCACGGCCGGCCTGCCTGCCGGGGGCTCGACTCCTTAGGTCTCGCCGCCGCCGCCGCCGAGGTTCCACCGCGGGCTCCCCACGCCACCGCCTGCCTGGGCGGCCTCCCACCACCACCTCCGGTGGCTCGGTGTAGGCCCACCGCACGCCGCGCGGGTTGGCGCGCAGGCCTTCCAGGCGATGGACTCGCTGCAGCGGCGCACGATCTGCAGGTTCTCGGCCCAGGGCGAGAGTCCCTCGCAGGTCTTGAGCACCACGATGGAGTCCCTCCACGACGACAGCACCACGTAGCTGAGGAACGCCTCCGTCTTGAAGATGAGGTTGCCTTCCTCCAGGTCCTCCGTCATCTCCAGGTACTCAGCGGCGCACCGGAGGCCCGGAGATGTTGCCCGCCGTCAGGTCCACCGCCATGCCGTAGCAGAACCGCGCCGCCAGCTCGAACGAGTCCGCGCCGCCCGGGACGTCGTCCAGCTCCACCACCACGGCCGACGCCGTGTCGCCCGCCAGGTCCGAGGAGGACGACGCCGTCTCGTAGATCGCGCGGCTCATCCGCCCGCTCCGGAGATCATCAGGTACTGCATGGAGTTTGGGACATCAGTTAAACAAACAAGCGTGTGCATGCATGGAATTAGCTTCATCAATCCATGGCCCATTTCGTGCCAGAAATCTACTGTATAGCGTTGTTGCAACCCGTACGAGAACAAATTAGGAAATAACAAAGCCTGTGTTTTTAGACAAAGTAGAAACGCCACTCCCTCAACTTTGAACGCTTAATTAATTAGTAAGCATCATAACTACCTACCTTGTGAAGATGGAAGCTGACATCTCCAACTTTGACAAGCAAATCGCTGGGAATATCGCTGTTAACATACCTGCTCAGATCGTTTCAGACACAGTTAAAATCATCAGTTACTATCTTGGACAAGAAGGCAAATGATAATCAAACCAGGACGATATATGGATGAAGGAAGTATGTGTGTACCAGGACTGGTCTCTGCGAACGAAGCCGTCGTTCTTGAGCGCCTCGTGCCGTCCCGAGGAGCCGCCGACGGGGACGAGCCCTCGCTCACCGGCATGGCTCTCGCTCTCCGACTCCACATAGCCTTCTTCTTTCGATCTACGCTCGCCTCGCCTTGAATTGAACGACGACAGAGCTTATATGAAAATATATAGCTCTCGGGTGCTGTATGATCTTCATGAAAAAAAGATGGACACACGAGCAAGTTTATTAGTACCACGTATGCTAGCTGGTGCAATTTAAGAATCTAGATGGTTGGTTGATAAAGGAAACTGCGCGTACGTAGTGCGTATGTACAACCTTGTGCACGGGAGGGAGATGATGAAGGAGCAGCAGGTACTGCAGGAGTCCTGCTCTTGCTGTCCTTGCAGCTGTGTACGTAGTAGTACGTACTGATTGACGACTGACAGTACCAGCAGCAGCTGCAAGCCGGTCGCTATAGCAGCGAAGAAGAAGAAGAGCGACGACGATGCTGAGCTGGATTAGCTTAGCTTCCGGGCTTCTACTGGCTAGCTAGGTATGGTAGGGGCCGGCCGGATGGATAGGCCGGATAGGGGGTGGGTGGGGGTGGGGTGGCAGGGGGGGTTGGGGCGGGGGGTGGGGGGTGATAGATGGTGCATCGGTTGGTGCTGGTGCTGCAGGCTGGATCGACGCGCGAGCGAGGCCAGCCAGTCATAGACTCATAGGTTATGGGGCGGGGGTCGTCGAGGAGCTAGCGATCGAGACCACATGGAATGTTTGTTCTCGGCGTTGGGCCTGGCAGGCGAGCGAGCTAGTACTCGATCGGATATGGTCAATCACCACGCTCAGACTATCTTCAACGACGACATCTAAAATATAAGACCCATTTAACGCTTCTGAGACAAAAAGTTCGAAGATGCATCTTCAGCAACAACAGATAAGATTGAAAATTCTTTCTATAAATAGGTTTTTAGGGAGAAAGGATGTACATATTTGGGTTGTGTCTACCGAACAGCATAAAAATAAATCTTCCGTATAGATACTCTGTTGAAGGCTAATTTTAGGTTTAGGTGTTCACGTGGGTTCCTTTGTTGGAGACCGTCTCACCAGCAGCTGCATGCCTGCCTGCTTCTCTCGCCGTCGTCGTTACCTGCAGACAAATAGGTAGGTCAGCTGCATGCCTGCCTGCTTCTCTCGCCGTCGTCGTTCTGCAGACAAATGGTGGTAGGTCAGCTGCATGCCTGCCTGCTTCTCTCGCCGTCGTCGTTACCTGCAGACAAATAGGTAGCCAGCAGATGAGGCCTCGGATCAGCGGAAGCCAGCTAGCCTCTTCCTTACGCGATCTATACCTCCGATATATGCGCTCCATCGCTAATCCGTTTCACCTCCCAAGCAAGGATTATACTTCTTGGCTTCGCAAACAGGATTATATATAATGATATATCAATTGCATTGCTTTCTGGGATCATATCGATCCTTGTCTCCTTCGCATTGTATGAGAGCTCTCACCGTTACTGCTGCCTGCGATTGAGTGCTAACTACACCTACACGTGTTCAATCGCCTTGCCGCCGGAATAAACAAGTAGGAGTAAAGATACTTAGCCCCCGTTTGCGATGGCTTCTCTTTATAAACGGTTGTTGTTTCCAGGGAATATTCTACATTATAATAAACAAGGAGTTATTTTTCTCCTTTTCAGAAGTAGATAGGAGCCGGGCGAAAAGAAACCCGCCAAAAAGCGTCTTATTCAGGTCTTGCCAATATAAGAAAAAGGAAAATGTACAACTCCCCTCATTTTTGAGCTATTTTCTCTCTCATTACTTTGGTGCGTCCCTCCCCCTCCTCCGTGTTTTTGAGGTGTTTACCTTCTTTTTTCTTGAGTGAATGCCATAGTTTATACTCCTATATAAGTTACTCCTTCCATCCCAAAAATAAATGTTCATCTCACATTTCTAGATCTAGTTTGACAAGCTTTTTTATAGAAAATAGTATCAACATCTATATATATATCTAAATAACTTGGTTCAGTATGAAAATATATGGGCGTGATTAATCTAATGATGCTTATTTGGTATCATAAACGTTACTACTTTTATATATATATATATATATATATATATATTTGGTTACCATTTGACATTGTTTAACTCCTCAAAATACGAGATGCGCATTTATTTTAGGACGAGAGAGAGTCCTCGTCATTATCTTTAAAGGATACCCTCCATTGTCTTTGCCTTATAGTTCATTCTATCTACAGTGTATTAGTACACACCATATGTAGCACTTGTATACATATATTGATATATATGAAATTTTAGACCTGATGTTAAACACCGTCTAACTCCTTCTTCGTTCTTGAACCTGTTCTATCTTGTTTTTCCTTTCCTCTTATTCTCCCTTAGCCCTCTGTTCATTCCTCTTATTCTCACACCTCCCCTCTCTTCATTAAATGAAGCTCCAACGGTTAGAGGGTCTTGAGACCCCCCCAACCCCACACACAACATCCACATAGGAGTTGCCTTGCTTTCTAAAACTTACAGATGAACCACACTTGAAAAAATTAAATGAAGACTTAGGAGGGTGCCTCACTTTCACCATACCTGTTTTCTACTATGTGGTAAAGGTTTCACAGCTCTGCTAAAACAAAATATAGGGTCGAATCCAAGGCGTGAAGGTTTGTCGGGTGTGCACCGAGTGTATCCCATCTACTCTTTCTTGTGACTTTGATATTATGACAGGCAGAGGGAGGGATGCACTAGAGCTATAGAGAATTTTGCAAATATATGAGGAGTGCTCGGGACAAATGATCAATATGGAGAAATCGGCTATCATGTTCAGTCCTAATACAACTCAATCTAAGAGGGAGGATGTCTTGAGTACTTTGCACATTCCAAAGGTCGAAGGAGACACTAAATGAGAGGTATTTTTAGGCTTCTTGTCTTTGTAATGAAAAATCAATAACAAAGGTGAGCTATTTGAAGGAGAGAATTTGGCAGCACATTTAGGGATGGAAGGAGAAAATGTTGTTATGAGCTGGGAAGGAAGTACTGATCAAAGTAGTTGCCAGGCTATATCGACATTTGCCATGGGCTATTTTGATATCACAAAGGAGGTATGCGATCAGATCAGTAAGATGATAGCAAGGTACTGGTGGAGCTGCCAAGAGAAAGAGAATAAAATGCATTGGATCAGTTGGAAAATACTAACTCGGTCTAAGGGAAAAGGCGGTTTAGGCGTTCATGATATCCATAGCTATGCTGGCAAAGCAGGGTTGGAGATTGTTAGAAAACCTAGGATCGTTGTGTGCACAGATTCTAAAGGCCAAGTATTATCCAAATAGTTAGAGGGGCTTGAGCCCTCCACCTCTGTCTCTTCGTTAAATGAAGCTCCAACGGTTAGAGGGGCTTGAGCCCCCCAACCCCACACACAACATCCACATTGGAGCTGCCCTTGCTTACTAAAACTTACATGTCAGCACACTAGAAAAAAAAAGAAATTCTAGAAATTCCAATCATTGTCTCAAATAATTTTTACAACAATAGCTGTTAATTAACTTGCCCGATTATAAAATACATAGATTTATAGAAGTTTGTGATGCTATGAATGTGCTTATCTTTGCTCTCTCATTTATTCATATAACATAATACTTGTATAGATACTTTATAATCTTTGTGGAATATCGTCTTGATTATTTACTTCATATGTTTTCCATCCTTCTTCATAGCTTTTCCCTTTGCATCACACAATCATGTGTGTTTGACATGTGTTTAGTTCAAAGTTGACTTGAGCTATGTAATAATGACATGAAAATCAATATGCTTATCATGGTTCCTCCATACATGTTTACCTAATTGAAAGGTCCTAATGGCTAGAGGGGGGTGAATAGCCTATTAAAAATTTCTACAACAACACTTAATAAACCGGTTAGACAATTATGAGGCGAAGCAAGTATTGCACTAGCCTACTAAAATTGCAAGCCACCTACCACAATTCTACTTTATATGATTTCTATCCACACAATAGCTATGTCACTACACTAAGTTAGTGCGCCCTCAAATGCTAACTAAAGAGCCACACTAACCAAACTAACAAGCTCTCACAACTAGCTACACTAAAGAGCTTGACAACTAGTTTGCGGTAAAGTAAAGAGAGTGAGCAAGAAGGTTATACCGCTGTGTTGAGGAAAGGAGCCAATCAATCACAAGAATGAATAACAATGAAGACCAATCACCTCGGAATCAAATAATGAATATAATGATTTTTACCGAGGTTCACTTGCTTGCCGCAAGCTACTCCTCGTTGTGGCGATTCACTAACTTGGAGGTTCACGCGCTAATTGGCATCACACGCATAAACCCTCAATAGGGTGC